GCCAATACAAAATTAAACAAGTGCATGCCAGATGTACGACACTGAGCCTTGCCATTTAATTAAGGAGAAACTAAGAGTGAAATTAGGGGTAAAAGCGCTGAATAGACTGATTATTGTTACGAAACAGTGAGCTGATAGGTACATATTGGAGATACAAAAAGCTCAAATTAGTACATACTATATCTTTGTGGAATTTGCAGTGCTTGTAGATGACAGGGCCTGTAGGTATGGCTTGAGCCAATCTTCTTGTAGCTTTTACTGTTAGGAAGATTATTTACTCTTCCTTGTATGTAGCCAAATTATTCCATAATTTTCAGCTATCCTGCCTGCTATCTGTATATTCAAAGGAGAAAATTTAGTGAGAATTTGACTTGTCCCAGCAGTTTACAGACTGTAGTTTGGTTTTTTAGTTGTATTTTAAATTGTATTTTAAAACAGTAATGATCAGACACTAAATACATTAAAAATTTATCTTCCAAGCTTTTAGTACTTGAAATCTCACTATTAAATAATGAAAATATCAATACTGAGAAAGGGAATTCTTAGGGATACATAACAAGGAAATAAAAATAAAAAATTAGAACTGTTTTGTTTGTTTACTTATTTATTTATTTGTCTTTAGGACCCATGCTAATCTTTAGTCAAGGAAAAAAAAATCTTGTGGGTTTCTCAGAAAAATATTCTTCCTTGATAAGTTTCCCTGTGCAAAGAAGGATTCATATGATTATATGTTTTGGTTCAAGAATTCTTTGAGGCGATCTGCAGGGGAATGACACTTTAAAGTAGCTGAGTAGGAGAAGCTCTTTATGTTTAAGAGATCCTTAAATACAAGTTGAAGAGCTTAAGTAGCCAGCTCTGATGTGTGTATGTCCGTAGGAGAATTTAGGCACAAATTGTGATGTCAGCATTACTAGTGCAGTTGGTTTCACAGTTTTATGAATAACAAAATACTTAAAGTGATTAAAGATACAGACACTTAATTCATTTGTATATGATGAGATTATCCCAGCGGTTACATGACTGAAAGACAGTAGGCTTGGTTCTGTTTTGTTTATGCTTTCTTTGGTTCAGATTCTTTCTATTTTCAATGCATTTCTTTGATTGGAGTTCATGTTACAAAATTCTGCAAAAACGTCTTTAGTAGGTGTCATTGTAGGGCTTTTTATGTTGATTTGTCCAAGTTCATTAATTTTTGTGCGTTTGAAGAAAATTGTGTAATTTTTTTTTAAGTGTTGGAAAGTGTTAAGTGACTTTTGTACTTTAGCATAGTCTATGTTGTGATAAATAAACTAGGAAGGTAATACTTAGGTAATACTACACAGGCACATATTTAATACGATACATAAATTGCTTAAGCCAGCTGGCTAGTCTGTAACTCTGGCTGCATTGCATATTTTTTCCCCTCATGCAAAATTCTGTTTTCCAACTAAACCTTTGTGCATCTTAATTTTTTGTTTTGTTTTCAATTGCACACTGAATTAAAAACTAGTGTGTGAATCTAGAATTTCTGTCCTGTGACAGGAAAATTTGCAGTGGACTGTATGCAGGATAAAACTGACAGGAGCTTAAGAAGCCTTTTTTTTTTCTGTAGGAAGGAAGAAAGAATTAATATTTCTGAAAAGTGACAATAGAAAGGCATGGTAGGTTTTGTCTCTTTTCCTCTGTATACATGCACGACTACTTCCTGCATACAAACTTAACTTTTTTGCTTCCTGTATGGGGTTTGCTGCCTTAGGGTGTGCAAAACTAATTGTATGATTAGGTATTCAAATATGGTCTTGTTTGATGAATAGGTAATGCCCTTTTGTAAAATATATTTTTAAAAATAAATGGAAATAGCACCACACCTCCATGCTACTCTTAAAATATATTAGATCTTATTTATTAATCTTACTGTTACAAAGAATCAGATCTGATAGCATAAGTTACATGTTTGTTATCCTCCCGTTTTCTAAATTGTTCTCCCAAGCACAATCTGTAAAACTCTGAACAACATTGTCCAAATTTTCTGTAGTGTTTTATACAGAGATCGTTTAAATAGGCACCCTACGAAACCTATGCAGAAAGATTTATTCCTTTCCTGTCAGTGGGAGAGATTAGGATTCTAACGATTTTCACTAGAGCAGACTTGAGAAACCCTCTCCCTGGCTGCATGGATCTTGAAATCAATCTGTGTCTTGATGTAGCTTTTGACTTGACACCAGCTCCAGTAGAGTTGCTTGTACTGGTAGCTCTGAGGCAGTGAAACCTTATAGCTACATTTGGTTTAGAATGAGGTGGCTTAAAAGTCTGGCACACCGGATTGAAACAAGAAGCCTGTATTTGTAAAGCAGGTCTACTGTTGTGACGGGCTTTAAGTATGTTTTTGCCCCATTGGGTTTAAACCTGCTTTTACTTTCTTCAAAAGCTTCTGTGCTGGCTTAGCCTTCATTAATTGCAACTTCAGTGTATTCATCCAGAGCTGTGTGTCTGATTCTATCTATGATCTGACAACCTTTTTCCCTTATAGTAACAAATTAGTGTCCATTTCACACCTTAGATGTAATTGTGCACACAGATATGTCTTTTGGCTGGATTTCATATGTCGGATAGGTACTTCCCAGGCTACTTTATTCTTTTTGCATGAAGGCATGACCATTTCAAGGCCTAGTGTAGTTTTTGGTGTTACTTTCTTGGTTTTGTGTATTCTTTTTATAACAGTGAATGGCTGTTAATTTACCTGTATTCATCACCTAGAATTCATTTAACTTCTACTGTGGTGGTTAAAATGTATGATTTTTTTTTAAACAAGATCTATACCTGTATCATATACATACATGCACACACCTGCCTTCCATCTTTGGTGTAGAATGACTACAAAATATTGAAGCACTCAGAAGGAATTGGTACCACTGTTCACGTAAGACAGACAAATGATCACATACTTATATTGGAATGTTGTAGAAAAAAAGTAGGTATTTAAAAATCATATTTCTCGAAACTTCTCTAATACAAAATGGAAGTCCCTATTCATTAGATGTCCTCTCCTGTTTTTATTTCCTTATGATCAAAGGTTCAGTTCTTTGCGTTCAGGATGGAAATTGTTAATTGAAGGCATGCCAATGATAATTAGGGTTGAGCTGTATGCTGAAGTTAGTATAATCCATAACAATTTCATACATGACTGTGCATGTTAGAAGCATTTATTTACAAATTTGGCTTACCTTAAATTGCAGTTCATTTTTATACACGATTTTAGAGAGTATGTGCTTTAAAAATGTCATTTAAGCATTCTGGGTAGTAATTCTTAGGTTATAAATGGGAAATCTATAAATGTCATTCTGCTCATCAGGTTTTGGTGAGTTGATTTCTTATGCCATGCTAGATTAGATGTTATATACAGATGTATATGCTCTGTATTACATGTATTTGTGAATATGAAGTTCTTGTATTAAACTGTGGTAAAATGAAATTCACTGCTTCCCCAAATTATCTGTGTTTTCAGACAATGGATTATTACAAAATAAACAGTGTCGTGTACAGCTCTTTTGTGAGAAACGGGCATGCCTGTTACATATCATGTTGCAGGAGGTCATAATAGAGAGGGTAATTAGAGTGTATATAAACAGAAGGAGCAAGGTGTGTGGGTTTTGTGTTGTTGTGGTTTTGTTTTTTTGTGGGGTTTTTTTTTTTTTTTTTTAATGTAATACAAGAGCGTAAGAGCACATCCTTTGGCTGTTGTCAGGAAGTGGTGCATATATGCATGTTCCTTATAGCACTCTTATTCAAGATTTAAGTGGTTGTAATTTTTTGGGGCTTTCTTCTAAAACTAGACTTGTTTCTGTACCAAGTTTTAATACAGTTTAGCTAATTCATTTTAAATGTTAGTTTGTCAAAGCTTCCCCAGGTGTCTTCATATAGATGTGATAATTTATTGCTTTTCAAAAATTTTTCCTACTTTATTCTAATTTATACTTCCTGATACACTCGGAGGTATAAATATCTTAAGTATAAAGGAGCAATTCCTCAATTCTTTGTTTTCATTATAGAACATTTTTCTGGTGACATTTAAAAAGGATCAAGTGATTTCTGTGTCTTCTATTTGTATTTTTACATTGTTATACTTGTCACTTCAGTAACAGCATATATAAAGTTACCTGAGTTTCTGAACTTTTTTGGGTATTCATTTGCATTTGGTAGAGGTGTTTACAAACATCCAGAAATTTGCTAGCCTTAATGTAGTGCTTGAGGTACTGACAAAATAGCACAGTGAAATGTTTCTTGCAAGGGTTGTATACAAACCATTTTTTCCAGCATGAGACAGCTGTTGCAACTTCATCAAAACGGCTGCATCTAGACCGGTAGACAATTGAATGTCTATATGTAGCTGTAGAGTTACAGAAATGAATGAAAAGTAATCTTAGGTGGCAGTTGTTATTTTCAAAATATGTAGCGATAATAGCTTTTGTAGCACTTGAAAAAGGATGAAGGTGATGTTTCCTTCTTACTGGAAAAGGACGATTTTTCTCATGATTGAGTGATTGATAAACCCTTTTAGAGGGTTGGATGGTATTTCTTCAAATTCCCCAAGCTCTAGTTTGTGGATATTTGTAAAGATAGTTGTAGATCAGTGGCACCTGCAAATAACTATATTACAGTATCTTTTATACACCAGCTACTTTGTTTGCTTTTGCACATCCTGGAGATGCAGCCTGATGCTTCAGTGCTCGTTAGAAATTATTCTGCTGTATGGTAATACAGATTTTATTTTCGGTTGTTGTTTGGCTTATGAGTTAGTGCTACTATTAACTCTGGAAATAGAGGCTGGAAAACTTGAAACACTGTTCAAACCCAGGACTTAAAACACTGTAGAAGTTGTGCAAAAATATCATTACATTCTGAATATACATTTCAAATTTGTATGTTTTAATGACTTCTTAAAGGAAAGCTTTATTCACTTATAGATAATTGCTTATTTTATTTTTACTTCTGGGTTAACTAGTGTACTCTTCCATTTCAGAATGTATGAAAACATGTCCACAATGGTGTATTTAAAGGAAGAGAAGTTGGAGAAGCTCACTCAAGATGAAATCATTGCCAAAACTAAGCAAGTGATTAATGGACTAGAGGCACTGAAGAATGAACACAATTCAATTTTACAGAGCTTACTTGAAACACTGAAGTGTTTGAAGAAAGATGATGAAACTAATCTGGTTGAAGAAAAATCAAACATGATTCGAAAGTCACTGGAAATGCTGGAGCTTGGCCTTAGTGAAGCACAGGTAAAATTGCAGTAGAAATAAAGCATTTCAGACTTTGAATGAATTTTTGGTGTAAAAAAAATAAATGAAAGATCATTATTTGACCTATAATTGGAAATTTTGAAGTAAACAGAGATCAGTTTTGATGGACTTACATTTGCCTTACTGAATATTAGCAATGTGCTGGGACATTTATGTTGTTATTGTATGTTAAGGAAAAAGACTCTTTTACTTATTAGAGGTAGGTACTGCCTGTCTTGCTGTGTTACAGAACTAATTATGCATTCAGTATTAAAGTACTCCTCTGTACTTCAGTGAGAAAGCTGCTATTTTCTGTTTAGACTTTTCCACAGCATTAGGCAGGTAATGTTTGAGCAGCTCAAGAACTGAGCATTGGCATTTTAACTTTGATTTATTGCATAGAGAGGTCTCACAAATAAATGAATTTGCTCCAACCTTTGAGCTCTGCTGTAACCTTAAATTGATATTTTTATTCCCTTGATTCTGAGATTCTTTATAGTAGTTCACAATGTTCCTGGAGCTTAAGAATCTCTAATGTTTATTGAACATTTTACTAAAACAAAATTGAATCTAAAAACATTTTAAAGGCTAAGAATCAAGTCCAGAATCTGAAAAACTTTCACTGATGCGTTAAAGAAAGGACTCTGAACTAATTTCTGTGAACTGTCTTAGTCGATGAAGGTATCGTCAGCAGAAGATGAGTGAGAATATGCATGTTAAGTTAGGATGTCAGGACTATATTTACAGTCCAGCTTTAGGGTATTTTGTACTAGGTCAAAAACCTGAAACGATATAATGTGACAGAGTCATCAATATAAAATGGCAGAGTGTTTGCAAATGAGTTGAAAATGCCAGTGAGTTAACTTTATATTAATAGGCTTTATATTGGTCTATAACTGTGCTCAGTTTTCTCATCTGGATCGAGCTGCTATTATTCGGTGATCTGGAAGTTGTGTGCATTGGATCGTGGTAAATTGAGGCCTGAGAGAATGAACAAATATGGGTTACATGGGAATGTAGAACCCCTGGACGTTATGGTACAGACTGTCAGGCCTTAGTATATTGTACAAGCTTTGATCCCTTGTATTGGAAGAAAATACTAGAAGATACATGGAATAAAATTGCAATAGTTGAGTTACCTTTAATGGGTGTTTGTAGAAGATCTGTGAGTGAATGAGTAGCTTCTCTTTCCTAACTTTGACATGGTATTGGGACTCCACAAAGTTAGTTCTGATCCTTGGCACTATGGGATTCAGCAGCCTCAGTTGCAGATGCTATTGCCTTCTTTGCCCCACATGGTATTTTGTGAACTGTGTGGCAAGGAGCCAAGAAGTCTGCATTTACTGCCTTTGTTAGGAAAGCAATTACGCTTCAGACTATTACTCACAGACCTGATAAGCCTACTCTCCCTGCATGCTTTGGGTTGCAACAATGTAGTATTTTTTTTTTTATTTGCAGTGTTTAAATTAAGATATGAAAATATTTTATAGATGTTTTGTGACGGATGTAGGTCTGATGACATGTGTTATTTCCATGAAAATGAAACTGACTTTGCTGAAGAAGTAATCAAACTTTTCTTTCAGTTAATTCTAAAGAATAGGATTACAAAGGATTTTAGTTTGCCATTGTGGCTTGTAGAATGTTGTTTGAATATGTTGACCCTATTGTCACAACTTTCCTAAATATACTTTCTGATATTACAAATGCCACCGTTTGAATAGGCCAAGTAATTTAAATTATTAACGATTTTGAATATGTAAATAGGTAGGTGTTGAAGTCTGGAGATTTGGACTGGTATTAGGAAATTATACCTGGAGTTCTATCTTACCTTTATACGAAAAAGTAGTTTCTAAAGGCTTGGTGTTTGGGTTTGGTTTTTTTTTTTTTTTTGAAACCTGAAATTTCAACTAAGGACACCATCTGTTTCACATGAAATATTTTGTTTAAAAACACTTCAAAGTAACTTTGTTTTAAAGAAACATAAAATTGAGGAGATGAAATACTAATAACTTGGGCATGTCAAACTCATCTAAAAGAAGATTTTTATTATCACCAGTTGCCCATTCTTACAAGGTGTTCTTCCTGGGATTGCTATCAGCTGTTCTATGTGTATCAGTGGGAGATTACATAAACAGTGAAGGGAGAGTATCTTCTGTATGTAGTGGTTGGCTTTCATTTAACAAGCTCCTTTTTCATTTAGCTTTGCTTAGCAAAAAAAAAAAATCCAAGTAGACTGCTTTTATGGCTGTTCTGTTTATTGTCCTTAATGTGACTGTTCAAACACATGTAATGTGTTGGATGTCTGTACACTCAAGCTTATGATATGTATATATGAAGTGCTTATATAAATTGTGTGTTCAGTTGCACATTCAGATCTCAGTAGGATAATTGTCCCTTTGAAATGTTATCGTTATGCTGAGGTGTTCATCCTTATGAACTGTAAGCACGTATATGAATCCTTTTCTGTCTGAAAGCTGCTAAATTAGAACTCCTTGTTAGTTCTTAGGTTATTTTTGTGATCCTTCAAGTTAAAAGTATTAATGTTCCATTTCATGTTAGTGGAACAAAGATTTCCATTTCAGTAATCTAAATCCTAGTTCAAATTTTTCATGTATTTTAAGATTATATGTAATCTTCAGGGAATTCTGAAACAATTTGACTTCTGATAGCATTATGGAAAACAATCATTGGTAAAGAGTTCCTGTAGGTTAATTCTGGCTGAACAAATGGTAAAAAAGTTCAGAGGAAAAGTGAGAACCAGATGTATAAAGAAGAGAAATCTGAATGCTTACCAGATTTCACCGCTGACATAGGTTTTAAATAATGAAAGGCTTTTATGTTAAATACAGAACTGCATTTTAGAGGAAGTATGTCATCTGACTCCTTCTGCTTTTCAGGTAATGATGGCCTTGTCAAATCACTTAAATGCAGTGGAATCAGAGAAACAGAAATTGCGTGCTCAGGTTCGCCGGCTATGCCAGGAAAATCAGTGGCTACGGGATGAACTAGCCAATACACAACAGAAACTACAGAAAAGTGAGCAATCTGTGGCTCAACTGGAGGAAGAGAAGAAACACCTAGAATTCATGAATCAATTAAAAAAATATGACGATGATATTTCACCATCAGTAAGTAGCTGTATAGTAAAAAGCACCTTACATTTACATATGTGAGGTAATCTGCCTAGTTACCAAGAAATTATAGATATAAGCTTTTTATTTGTCTCTAATGTCTCTTATGTTTAATGACATAAACTTGTACCTTGTACCAGTGTCACATAGTTTGCAGAAAGATTCTGAGAGTTCGGTTCATTCTTATTTTAAAAGAGTAAATGTTTTACTGTCTGTAGATAATAAAATACATATGAGGGTCAAAATCCATAAATACTTATTTAGTATCATACTAGCTTAAAAAAATATGAAGAACTGAACTTCAAGCCAAAAATTTCCTTCTCTAAATTCAACAGTTAAAATAAGTGGGAAATGTAAGCTATTAGAGGTTCTAAGTACATAGCGGACTTGGCTTATTTTGACTGCAAGAAAAATACTTAATTTTCCTGTAGTAAATTCAGTGTGTAGCTTTTATATCTGTTGAGAATTTACGCTAGGATAGGATGTTGCTGAATCCCCTTTCATGACCACCTGCCAGACATTGTGATCATCTGCACGTTTTTAGTCGTGTTTAGCTAGCCCATTGTGTTACATATTCTTAGATTCAGAGAGAAAATGGTTAAAATTTAATTTACAGAAGTAACTTATCACTTAAAAAGACTTCTGAATTATTTGCCCTTCTTGTCCTTTAATTTTCTTTTCTTAAGTTAGATGGCACTGTAGAGAAATACCGCATTTTGTGTGTTCAGACCTTCTCAGCTGTGTCTTGGAAAGAATGATTTTTCATAACCAATTATTTCAGCCACATAGTGGTTGAAAATGTATGCATTTTAGTCATGCTTAACCGACTGCTTGACTAAATCCTATTTAACATATTGTCAGTAGTGAGAGTAGTTTTGGCAGTTGCACGCGGAACTTTTCAGTGCTATTTCATGAGTTGGTGTTTGTAGCTGAATACTGCCAGTGAAGCCTGTTCAGAAAAGAGGCAGGAGGAGGGAATATTGGGATTTTGATGTGCTAATTGTTGAACTGTAATCTGCAGATGGCCTAAATAGCACCATTATTTGAAGTTTAATTGGCAAATAGGGTCAAAGTAAGCAAAGCATCTTTATAGTTTCACTAACCATATGGACAGTCTCTGTTGTTAGCCTTTGAAAATAGTCAATTGAGTATACGCAGTGTGAGGTTGGAATCAGCACACTTAAAATTATGAACTTCCCATCTGAGACCTAGTCCCATCAATCTGCTGTTTTTGCAGAGCACCCACTTTGCCACCATTGAACTTGAATGCCAGCAGCAGCAGTTGCTTTTTTCTCATCTGTGGAAAAAGGATGGAGAGCCAGAAAAATAGGACTGTGTTCTGCTCCTGGGTTTTCTCCTTACCAAGATTAACATTTCTGAGAACTTCAACTATTTATATTGTGTAGACTCCACATTTAAGAAACAGGATTGAGGGATGATCTGTTTCTTTATTTTACATGATTGTGGGATTTAGAATGATCTTTGGAGGCTTAAAATCAATATATACTGATGGATTGTGCAGAAATTAATATTGTTCCAGATGGAGACTCTTGCAGAGGAACTTTGTTCCAAGTGTTTTTTTTTCTTTTTGAACCTTACAGATCACAACTACAAAATCTATTATTTGTGCAGAAGTTGAGTACTCAGAAATTGAGGTGACAGAATTAAAGTTGCTGGTGCAACTTAATTCTCCTTCAAGAAATGAATCTCCTTATTATTCTCCCTTGCTCATTTCTAACTGTGTTTTTGACTAAAAAAAGTACAGTGGACAATTTTGTGTTCAGTAGCGCTTACTCTTCACTGAGTACTTTTCATTACGTATAATGACTCTCTGCAATAATAGCAAATGTGTTCCTGTGTGCTTAAATTGAGACTGAAATCTAGGAGACCTGATTTCTATTCCTGGCTCTTCTGAAGGTGTCCTGTATTGTTTCGGGACAGAGTATGTAAATACATTTGAACATAAGACCTTCACTAAACTTCTATGAGAGATGTTATTCTTGGCAATTCCTGAGTTCTGGATGTGGGGTTTTCCTTTAATGTTGCTGATTAAATGGACTGTCCCTTTATGCCTTAGATTTAAGTGTAACAATTTGTTTGGGTTTGGGGTTGTTGTATAGGAGGATAAAGATACGGATTCCACCAAAGAGCCTTTGGATGACTTATTTCCCAATGATGAAGATGACCAAGGACAAGGAAGTAAGTGCACTTCAAATTACAATGTTAGTGTATTTCTGCAATGCAGAATATAAAGATGCTCTTTGCAAAAATGAATCCATGCTTGGGGTCCTCTGGGACACAGCGGAGTGGTGAATGCCTCTGCTAGAATAAAGAAACCAGCCATTGATATACATTCTGTACATTGATATGTATAGAACTGGGGCTTAGTTTTTTAAAGAGAGTTTAACCTAGCTGTTGTAAAGTTCCTGGGACCGACTTCAGTACTAAATTGGTCCCACGGTCTTTCCTGTGGGCCTCAGAATGGAAAAGATTTGTACCAAGGGACTGTGACAGATTCTGAAACATTGAAGCTTTTTGATGGTCTGCACAGATGGTGAGTTCTGTTAATGACCTTTTTAATGATCCGATTTAACATTTTGGGGCAGGTTTCAGTATGAAGTCTTTCTCATATAATCTTTTGTTCTTTGCTAAGGTGGTCTTCCTTAGTTTTACTACTCATTCTAGAAGTATTGTCTTCACTCAGAAGGACTAATGAATATGCAGTGAAGTTTGAGGTAGGGGTATGGTAGTGTGGTTGAAAGAAGCCATTAATAGGTAAGGCTTGCTTAGTGAAATGTTCTTTGCATGGGTGTAAAGCTGATAGTGTATAATGTATTGATATTGTAGTGTATATGCAGTGTGCTAGTAGTATAATGGTTCTTAGTAGACAAATGACTTCAGAAAAAATGTCTGAAGGGTCCCACCTTTGTAATCAGTGGAGTTTCGAATTTCCTTATGGGCACATACACAAGATACACTGCATGCTTGATAGCATGGTAATGGTACCCATAGCCAGCAATGGAAGGAAGACTTGAAGAGTTTAGAATAGGTTAGTGTTGACTATGAACTCCATCCTTCCTTCCCTAGAATTTTGTAGTAGGAAAATTAAACGGCAAAGCTGTCTATATACCTGTGTAGTCAATCTACCTTATTTTGCTTTACAGAAGACAAAGTTGACATTTCAGTAATTTCCTTGACCTCCAGGAAAAATACTTAAATGCTTCAGTGCTTTGGTAGGCAGTGATTGTGGATGTAGGCTTGGAATTGTATGATTCCACTGACATAAAAAGGCTTCCACTTGCTGTGAGAGTGTTTCTTGCTTAATAGAAAGGAGAGAAGAAAGTCAGGCTCACAGCTAGAGCCCTTACCCTGTGTGTTGTCTAGAATTTAATGAAAATGAGTAAGAGGTAGTTTTCTCAATCTTCCCAGAAATCTCCCAGGGGAAGAGAAAAAGGGTAGTAAATTTTTGGAGGGAGTGGGAGGGTGGGGATTGCAACAACCAAAGGTTAGTAGCTACTGGAAAATAAGTGGCTAACCCTGAGAGTTAGTAAGTAAAACCTAAAGGTTGACACTGGCTTTGATGACTCAGTGCCTTTTTTCTTGCAGCTGTTATTAGTGGCATCCAAGGTGTTTTAATCCTTTATGTGCCAACCTTAAGTATTCCTTGGTATAGCAAACAAAGGGTAACAAAAAAAATTGGTATGTTTAGACAAGGAGAATAAAGGAAAAAGGACAAATCATTTGAGCTTTTCTGCAGGTGTTTGGCTTGTCTATGTTAATGTTCCTTTCTGTAG